TCTGTCTTAAAACAGTTGTCAAACTGCCGTTATAAGGAAGTCTCTTACTCTGTCATTTTGCTTTGAGTTTGAAGTGGAATTCTAATGAAGTGAAATAATTGATTATAGATGGGTGTGTGAGGCAATTCCTGCTTTTAGGATCATGCATGTAACAGTCAGGACAGGTGAAACTGATGGTTGGCTGTTGGGTTTCATCGTTCAGCATCTGTCTAGCTAGTTGGTTTGATGTATTCCACATTTTTCTTCTTATCAGGATAATATTGTTGGCATGATTCAGCATGTGAAAGTCAACTAAAGAGAGCACTCTGACTGGTTATTCAACAATGAATCAGAGCACAAGTGTGATGTAGTGAAGTGATGTAGCAAGTAAACGATTCAAGAGAAGAAGCAACACAGAGGCCGACTGTAATTTCCAAACGATATGGATTATTAGATTCTCAGGCATATTTGAAGGAGCAAATCCCTTCAGTGGTGAGTGACAATTACTGTGATAATGGTACTAAATGCTGCTTTGTTTACGCTTTGCATGTGTGCATTAAAAATCTAGGTTTTGGCATTCTGAATGAGAAAACAGATACCGCTCCTCCAGTGCAGAAAGACACATCCTCTTGCACAGATGCAGAATGCGTACTCTTGGATTGTTGCTGTCTGTTTGATGTGTTCACATGCAGAACCAAATGTGAGACAATCGAGGTGACAACACAGTTGGTTGCTGTCAGCTTGGTCTGTACTGGTCTAAACTCACAGTTGTATTGACCAGTAGCGGTGGACAAGATAGTCAATTTTTATTTCATAATACAATTTTTTATTTTGGTTGATGCAATATAATTCTGACCTCGTTATAACCACATTTTTTTTAAAAAGCCTGAAAAAAATATCTAGAACACCCACAACGATTGTCTGTACTGTACTAAGTCGATTTTACCTGTGACTAATTAGATGTGTCGAGATTTGCCTGTCTTAGCTAAAAAGAAAGCTTTGACTTCTGCCCCCCACATGTAAATACTTTGCAGTATATACTTTTGCACAGATGAAGTGGATTAGATGCAATATAAAGAAAAAAACATTTCATTCAGTACTTTATTTCACTGATATTCAAGAATAAAGTACAATGTAAGTTTATAATATTTACACATCAGTAAAGTTGATCTATACATTTTATCAGTTTCATTTTGATGAACAAGACAGAAGATAATGCTATGGTTAAATACAAATTTGTGAGCATCAGCTGAGCACACAAAACATTTGATTACTTTGTGAAAATGTCAATACCAAAATAGTAGTGAACGAACAAAAAACAAACCAACTAGATAAATACTAAGCAATAAGAAAAACACATGCTGCATGGACTTACAACTGGTGTTGGGGATGGTGCTTATGTTTTATAGACAAGTTGGCTTCAGCGTTTATGGTGCCTTATCTTCTGACTATCAAGTTGTTAGAGCTCATTCACAGAACATCAACAGAGATCAACAGAAATGTGTGAAATTGGTTACCATTATCATTGCTTCACACTCATTAATACGTGCTTACACAGACGCAATTTAAATCTGCGTTTATCAGCTGAATCATGCAGATATGTAAGTGATCCACTCATGAATCAGCTGATAGATGCAGCTTTTAAATGCTCCAGTGAACACTTTCAGAGCTATAATAACCAGCTATTGCAGAGCTCTGGCTGTCTGCAGGTCTTTGATGTAGGCTGTCATCATGCAAGTAGCCAGTTGTGTTCTGCTTTTTCTGACAGCCGGTCCCTGAAAGTCATTCACTGTAAGCTGTAATGTAAATCATTCACAATCAAATGTGTTTCTATTGTGACATATAGCGTTATTGAATTGTTGTTCAGAGCTATGCTTCAGTAAGGACTGTGTAAACTGTCTCTTGTGACAGTCTCTGTAAATGCACAACTGACACACCTTGGGCCCTACCATACACCTGGCGCAAGGCGCGACGCAATTGTTGTTTGCTAGTTTCAGCTTGGCGCAAGAGTCTTTTTGAAGTTTTGCAGCACGCTTTTAAATAGCAAATGCATTTGCCCTCATATGTGCGCACATAGGCGTTATGGTCTAAAAAAGGAGGCGTGTTAATGCGCATTGTTGGCGTGTTGCTATTTTGAGGAACTCGAATAGACAGCTCAATAGATCAGATCAAAGCTGGTCAATGTCCAGTAGTTGTGCGCCTCACTTACACATTGCTTAATACACACAGGATGTACAGCAATACGCAAATATCTTTACAAATAAAAAATAAATGAAGAATTAAAATATTACAAAAGTTATTTTCTAGCCTACATAAATATAAGAACCATACTTTCATGCCTTTATCTCAGGGAGGCTTTTTTCAGTTTATTCATAACAATTTGCTTTTGTATAATGTTTTCATTATTAGCAATATTATTTATTAAATGCAGATTTATGTTTGTTTTATTAAAAACAAGCTTAGATTTGTCCACCTGTCAGGTTTTAGACCATATGGGGCACAGCATGTGTTTTTGGATATAACTCAGTTTTTTGACCACACTTCGTTATTATTGTTCATTTATAAGTTTGCTGGAAATTAGAACTGAATTTAGAAATAGTTTTGAAACAAACCTTTGCCTTTAACCAGTTAAACTCTGCCTGCCTGGTACCAGGGACAAAATGACGTCATCGGGGGAATAAATATAGATTTAAGAGATTTATAGATTTAAGAGGTCTGTCTACATCAATAACACCATATGACCTATTGGGTGAAAGCTTAGAATGTCTATTTTTAACTGATGCACATCACTTTGATATTTGTTGTACTGTATTTTTCACATCGCTAATATTACACACATTGGCAAGTAATACATCAAATTAAAGCTCTCATTCCCAATAATAAGGATCCGTTATTTTTATTGATTTACAATCACATATCCAACAGTCTTTGAATGAGTCTTAAAGTATAAACACGTTTTTTGTAAACATACAAGGGAAATTATTGATTATTTGCTCCTTGAGCTGCCGGAGATAGCACAGATAGTTAAGCAAGCTACATCATCTTTTACCTTACTTTGTCGTCTGCAAATTGAGTCCATTTTCTGAGGATGTGTGCATCAGTAAACCCCTGCTGTGTCTTGCCAAACGCAACAAATTAGGGTCGTGATACTTCAAAATTCGGGAATATATGATAGCTTCGACCTATCTGCTTTCTACCTTCAGATGTTTTACATATCATTGAAAAGGTGAGATTCTCGGCTTTACGCTGATGTACCACGAGCCTTGATCAGCCAATCAGTGACTGAGATATTGCATGACAAACAGGAAGAGAGGTGTCCAAAACAGAGTGCATAAAAGTCACAAATCAGAAGCAAAAAAATTGTGATTTCCCACCCTTCGGTTAAACTAATATAATTATTGCATAATACATAATGATAAAAACAAAATTCTTTTTTCTGGTGTCTCCTGACAAATGCTGGTAACAATCAAAACAATCTGCAGTTTGATGGAGCACACAGGGCCTGAGTTATACACTTTCTAAATCAGGCTTTAGAACAAAAAAACTAAAAGCTGTTTGTGTTGAGGTGGTTCATCATAGGACAGACAACATATATAATAATATTTATTACTTTCAGCAGTTCTTTTTGTACTTTCAAAGTGTTTTCTGTAAAATGAAATTGAGATATTGCATTTATTGTACTGTATGAGGGTATGGGGAGACTTCAAAAATGGGTAGGCGGAAATAAAAAAATGGCATTTTTCCTTCTTGCAGTTGAAATAGAATAACTCTCACATCAATTATTATAAAGAAAGAATATATATTTTTTTGTGTTTGCTGACACCTGCTGGAAAAAAATAAAATTGTTTCCAGGGTGCTGGACCACTCCAGGCCTGAGTTACACATTTCCAAACTTCAATTTAAATATATAAAAAAAGCGCATTTTTTGTGTGTTTATTATAACACAGACAATATATACAACAAGTGTTTTTAATTTCAACTGTTTTTTTATAAAATTTCAAAGGGTTTCCTTTCAAATGATACCAAACTTTTGTACTTACACCGCTGCATGTGGGTATGGGAAGCTTTTTAAATCGAAAATGCTTGCTTGTTTCTTAGGAGACAAAGTGCTATTTACCTTATACTTTGTTTTCACCCCTTAGCTCTTAGTGCCGCATATTTCTTTCTGGAGCATTAGGTGCATTTTAATAGTTGTGTTATAATAAGTAAATGATAATTAAATCAATCAATATGTAAACTAAAAATAAAATCATTGTTCAATTGTTTGTAACCAAACCTACTTGCATGTTACAGCTTTTTTCAATGAGTTCATTTTAAAATGACTTTGGTCATACACTTTTTCTATGCTGTTTTCTTAGCTATTCCCGTGTGTTTTGTGGTGTGCATATAAATATTTTGTTTAGTGACAATAATTCTCATCATCAGTAAAATGTCAATTTTATTTTAGCCATAATTAAGAATAATGGTGTTTAAGTATTTATCGTGTCGCAGTAATGTCCATATTGCAGAAATATACAGTTCTGGAATGATAAAAGCATGCAAAAATGACAGTTTTAAAAAAAGGTGAACATTACTAAAGCAAGCATTCTATAATTATGATTACAATGTGATGAAAATTTTATATTTTTTTAAGTTTATTGAGACTTCATGCAAGGTCCTTTCAGTTACTGTGGTCATATATCACTGTGTTGAAAAGGCTGGATCCAAAATTGAGCCGGCGTAATCTCTGGTTAGTTAAAAAAAAAAAAAAAAAAAGCTAATCGACCATATTTTTTTCAACCACTGAGGATTCATTTGACTATTAACTACTGCATTTCTCTCTGTACAAAGCAATTAGTCACAAGACTCAAGACAGGCCATTATTTAATCATTTCATCATAACATCAATAAGATATATCAAACAAATGTAGGATAATATTGAAATAAAATTGAAGCCCACCTGCAGGATCACTGTAGTCTACTACTTGAGAATCTCTGATCTAGGCCATGCTGCTCATTTTCATCTCTGCATGTGTTCTTAGTGCTGGTCCAAAAGGAGACAACATCTACGAATGGAGGTCCACTATCCTGGGTCCTCCAGGTTCAGTGTATGAGGGAGGAGTGTTTTTTCTTGACATCGCTTTCACACCAGACTATCCCTTCAAACCACCCAAGGTAAGATCTTCTTTTCAGATCCTTGTTACAATCAATTTAATAAATTATTACAAAAAGAGTATATAGTTATGTTTCAAATAAATGTGTTCATCCAAGAATTCAAAGCACAAGTTTATTACAGTTTTAATCAAACAAATGTAGGAAACTTATGATTTGTCTATGTTTTTCTGATTGAATATCACAAAGACTAACATGGCAGAATGCACAACTTGCTTGTTTTTATTATCTAAATTCAAACAAATCCGTGTACATGCCAAAAGGTGCTTGTGTGAAAACCCCTTTAATGACAGTGGTCCTGTTTTCTTTTGTCAGGTGACGTTTCGCACAAGAATCTATCATTGCAACATCAATAGTCAGGGTGTGATCTGTCTGGACATCCTGAAGGACAACTGGAGTCCAGCGCTCACTATCTCCAAAGTGCTACTGTCTATCTGCTCTCTGCTCACAGACTGTAACCCTGGTAAGTCACACGTCCGTAAACACACTTCAAGCTAATCAGGACTTGTTAGTTGGTCATGTGCTGATGCTCCAGTGTCTGTCAGTATGTTGGAGCTTAAGCTGTTTGACCTAGACTAAAGCTGAGGCAGTTACAGGTGTGGGCAGTTATGCAGCAGCTTAATGCTCATGTATGAAACTGCATACAAACAACTTCATCTTATATTAGAGCTGTCTGTTCCTTTCAACTTGACTTCTTTTCTGCTAAAACAAATCACATCTCAACTACTTCCTGGAGGATCACCAACACTGTGTTTATTCGAGATATACTTGTTTTTTTTTAACTGTGCGACTCGTGCCGAGAGAGCACCCTTTGGAGTTCGGAGGAAATTTACCACTGATCACATCACCGTTCTGTACTTGCATGATGGGCAAGACAATCGCAGCTTTTGCTGAATTACAAATGTGACTTTATGTCGATATATTTTTCAGCCCTAATCCTAATCAGAAGACATGGGAAATGTGCAGAGCTGGTGGTCCTCCAGGAACAAAGTTGAGAGAAAATGCTGTCATTTTCACATTCCATTGCTCTACTAATGATTTTCTACCCAAGCTTATATGAAAAATGTAATTTTATTGTTATTTGGGTTGATGAATTGATCACTTGAGATTGACAAATTTTTGTCCACGGATGGATTTGAAGTTATTTATCATTTGTTGAACTGAAAAATCTTATCTAATGTTTTTAATGTGATTTTATATGTAATTCATTAGTCTTAATTAGTGTTGGGTAAGTTACTTAAAGTAATAGATTACAAGTTACTGATTACTGCTGGAAAATTGTAATTTGATTACTTATTACTTCGAAGTTACTTTTAAAACACATAAAAATACTAAATAAACTGCAGCTCTTTCAGTAATTTAATATTCACTGAAACACATTATGATGGGTTTAACACAGCAGATTGACAAATTCAAAAGATTCAAAAAGATTGTTTCCCTTATCTTACCTAATCTTCACTTGTTTCAAACCCGTTTGTCTTTTTTATCGTTTAATCTTTTGAACAAAACAAGACATTTTTAAGAAAACCTGGAGACCTGTAGTGTCCATACCGGTCAACATTGGGATGTGAAAATAAGGGATATGCCCACCATAATAAGGGATTCCCTCAACCCCCTTCTGAGAAACACTGAAAATACAGGAGAAATATGGGAAAATACCTTTACGGGATAATAGTGGGATAGAACTAAAATACGGGAGAAAAACTGGAAAAACGGGAGGGTTGATGGGTATGGTAGTGTCCTGCAGCAAATCCACATAGCCTACTACTGTAAACACTCAAATGTTGAATTCGTAAAATCTAGAATATGTGAGCGCGTCTCGTAATAAGAAGAGGCCATTAAGCAGAAATGCTTCTCTTCAAATTTTCAGAAGTTAACTTCATTCTTGATCCTGTACAAAAATGTACCCAAACAATTTACCCTGTTAGGGTTAAGTTGGGCTGCTGTTTTTTTGTCCTCCTTGGGACAAATATTGTCGTAGAATGCTTTGTTCAAGTGCTTGAACAGGTTGCTGGTCGATTTAAAAGCAGTAGAAAATTCTTTATAGACTGGACATAGACTGCAGTTCACACTAATACTTTTGTTTTTATACTCAATGAAATTAAAATAATGTCTGTATTTCTACTTGAAGAAGCAAGTACTCTCACCAGCAGCTATTTCATCTTGCGTTTAAAGCGAATGTTCATTAACTGACGTTTTAGCTGAAAACGTGATTTAAAAAAAAAATATTGTTTTCTAAAATTTATATTTGTACCGCAAGTAATGGAATTACACTGACTTCAGTAAATGTAATCAAATTACACAAATTAAAAATGTAATTTGTTACATTACTGCGTTCCCCAAAAACTGAAATTATAATTGTACTTTACACCCAACTCTGGTTCTTATTATAAAGTTATCATTATGTCATGGTTTTGTCTATAATAATACAATAATACTGCTTTAGAAGCAAGCAGTGCATGTCAGTACAGTAGGTTTTGATGCAAAGCTAGTGATTGTTGTTAACCTAAAGAAACGTGATAATTTTTCTACAGCTGATCCTCTGGTAGGAAGCATCGCCACGCAGTACACAACCAACAGACCAGAACACGACAGGATAGCCAAACAGTGGACCAAACGTTACGCCACATAATTTTCTCCGACTGCAGAGTGCTGCTTGTCGGACATCTGTGGGAAGGGGTGGCGAGTCTAAAAGAGGAACTGGTGTGAAGGGGATCCATAGGGTAGAAGATACAGGGGGGTTTTATGATGGAGTTTCAATTTTGTTTTTTTTTTGTTTTTTGGGAGTATTTTTTGTTGATTGTTTCCTTCAGCTTTAGTAGCATCACGATTTAACAAAAAATGGATCTTAATGTGTGTTTTCTTTGCCGCCTTGTTGTAAATTGATCTTATTTGAAGCTTTTTCATCCTTGTCAATTGAAGTCTCAGCATGAGCCTATGGCACAGTTGTTTCATGTATGTATTTTCCCCACCAATATTAAAGCTGAAGTTGGAGTATAAAGTTGCTCAGTATTTTTTTTATGCAAACAAAGATGATGCAGAAGATTCACTTCCTAAAACTAATCTCAGATTTAAACACTGATAAAAACCTTGAGTTTCATTCTGAAGAAAATATGCTTAATTTGGCTGGAGCACCCGTGTCTGTTTGATGTGTCATCTGAGCAATACCACAACAGGGTCAAAAAGGAAAAAAGTTGAGAGATTGCAAATTCCCAACAAAACCAGGTGAGCAAATATGTACATTTTCTACCCCATTGAAAGCTTCTTTCTCATTATGTAGTTAATAACAAAAGATATACTACGCCTTTTTGATTGCGAGAAGTAGTTTGGACAAAGTTGTTTGAGATTCTTCCTATTGTAAAGTCATGCAGTGTGCATCCTGTCGCCGATCCATCTTGCAGTGTAAAAAAGCAGCGATTAAAAGCTAGCCCCATGCAGTGTAAAAACGTGACACAACTGCTAGTCTAAACTCGGCATAAGGGTAACTAGGATTTTTTTTCTGCTTTATAGTAATTCACATAAGTAACTGCTATTTAAAGATTGAACAATCTATACAATGTGATAGTGGTTGTTTTTTTAAAGATTTTAATGTGTGCTCACTCAAATAAGGTTTTTCTTTGCATTATAGTTGTGGTTCTTCATTTACATGGAAATCGTGTCATAATGCAGTTCGCCTATCAAAGGCTTAATTTTCTTAATGAAAAAAAACATTACTGATTTGTTTGAATTCAAAACAAAAATACAGCAAGATTTGTAAACAAGCGTAGTTTAGGATTGTGTAAAACAAGACAATGGAAAGTGTAGAATGAAATGTTTGAAACGCATATCTTTCAAGACTCGGTGCACATTAAAGCCAATTCAAAAAATCATTCAAGTTGTTCCAAACCTGCATGTTTTTCTTCTTCTATTGCAGAAAATAACTAAACAAAGCAATAAAAATCAGCAGAAGAAATGTATTTAACACAATTTCACAATTATGAATTTTCTGCTCATCACTCATTATGGTCATTTAAAAAGTTAAATATTTTTTTTATTTTTCATATAAAAGAGGAATAGCATTTATAAACTGTTGTGTATTGTTTTTGTGTACAAGCTGTGCTTTCTAGAAAAAGAAAGTGTTACATAATCAATAACAGCATGGCACAGGGATGACATCAAAACCAGAATAATGTGGAAGGTGTTCCTACACAATTTTACTGTGGGTTTGATAATGGAGTTGTTAGAACCCAATACTTCGATACAAAAACATTTGGAATGCAGACGTTATTCACATATTAGACACGTGTAATAAAATACACACAAGCTTTAAAATTCATACTTTGCATTCACCTTTTTACGTTCATGACTACATTTTAAATCGTGTAGTGCACTTTGAAGAAGGTCCATTTATAATAACCGGAAAACATTTGAAATGATGCTGCCACAAATAATCCACAGCGAGAGGTATATCTAGTTTTGTGCTTGAAATCATATGTGTGAATAAAATATTCATACTTGTGGACTTTCTTCAGAACAAACAGTGCATGTAGTGTTCACATTGAAACTCCAAAAAGAAAAAAACTGAAAACTAAATAACCGGAGGACACTTATTTAGGCAAAAGCACAATGTTTGCATATCCTAACTAAGAGTGATGTACAATTCCTGCTTGGGTGCAGTTGATGTTCTTATCTATTGGATATGGAACAAACAAAACAATTGGTTTCATTCTGTATTTTCCATTATGTAAAGATGCTTAGAACTGTTGACTTTAATGTCCAGGTTAAATTTTATCCACAAATAATTTAAGTATAAACGATCTTTCACATAAAGGAAGCCAATTTATTAAGAATAATGTAATTAATTAGTGAGCCAAGCAAACTAATCCACTGTATATTCTACCTTTTTGTGTTCCACCACTAAGCACAGTCAACATTTGAAATGGAAATGGATTTCCTCAAAGTTGTGCTAAAACTATTGAACAGCACCCATTCTTGCCCTTTTTGATTCTCTTCAAATGTTGACTACAGTAGATCTACTCCTAGTTTAGCTTTTTCTTAGAAGTCTGGAAGAAACCCAGACACTCAAATACAGTGCAAGTCTTCTGGTGTGGTGTTCAGATGTCATTAGATGGGGTTCCTTTGCTCTTGCGGCCCGGCAGAGGGAAGGCAGACTTGCTTTGAGGCTGCGTCAGGCGGCTAGTGAGGCTGGTGAAGGGTTCGATTAAAGTGCTTCTGTCTGTCACGGTCACCTCCCAGAGTTTGACTTTCTCCCCACGTGCCCACTGCTGGGCCGTATCCTGATCCACCTGCCGACGCTCCCGCAGCTCACACTTGTTCCCCAATACCATCACCATCACCTACACATAAAGAGTCAATGGGATAATCTCTTTAAAATAGGGCTGGGCGATTTGGCCTAAAACAAAATCTAGATTAATTGATCATTTAACTCGATTAGGATTATTTATTTATTTATAGCCCTCATAGTTAACTGACAAGTTTTGTACAGTAAATATGCTCACATATTACAAGTGAGAGATTTTTGAATAAGGGTGCATTACTTGAATTTAAAATAATTGAAGGAAACTTCATTAATTATTGATGGATAATTGAACAACTAAAATGAAAACACTCACTGTCTAAAATAGACAGTCACATTTTCATGTTTTTCATATTAAAAACAAGCAGCATCTCTTCTAAATAAAATAATTCCTGTATATCCTACACTGTAAAACCCAACAGTCAACTTTATCAAATTAAATACGTGTAGTTAACTCTATTCATGAAAGTTAATTCTACTCATTTAAAAAGAGTTTTGAACTCAGTGTTGAAGGTAATTAGTTAATTAAATACTTCATTTCTTCAGCTTAAATGGAGTAAGTTCACTGTACTCATACTCAACAACAATCTGTTAACTCAAATGGCTTAACATATTGGGTTTTACAGAACTCAGTTGGTTTGAGTTCTCTTCAATTATCGGGTTTTTATTGTGCTCAAATTGCTTCATTTACCCAAATGGATTAAGTTCACAGTACTCATTAGGATTAGTTTTTTAATTCAAATGGTTTGTTGTATTTGGTTTCCTCAAAAGTCATTTATACTGGTCATGTATATGTTAATATTACTGGAGTATGATGATTCTTTTTTTAAAACTGCTATTAGAATCTTATGAGCAAAACTGCAGTACAATCTTGAACTTGATTTGTAATATAATACTATTCGAAACTTTGACGTCAGTAGGATTTGTTGAAATCAACAATATATTTAAGAATAAAACATGTACAGTTGAACTGTTGAAGTCAGAATTGTTAGCCCCCTTGAATTATTACCCACCCCCACCCCCAATTGTTTCCCCCATTTATTTCCCCAATTTCAGTTTAACAGAAAAAAGATAACAAAAGTTTTAAGAACTCATTTCTAATAACTGATTTATTTAGTCTTGCCATAATGACAGTACATAATATTTTACTAGATTTTTAAAAGACACATTTATACAGCTTAAAGTGGCATTTAAAGGCTTAACTAGAGTAGTTAGGTTAAATAGGCAGGTTAGGGTACTTAGACAAAATATTGTATAATGGTGGTTTGTTCTGTAGACTATTGAAAAAGTATATCGCTAAAAGGGGCTAATAATTTTCTCTCTAAAATGGTGTTTGAAAAATTACAAACTTCTTTTATTCTAGCCAAAATATAACAAATGAGACTTTTTCCAGAAGAAAAATATTATCAGACATGCTGTGATAGGTCATTGCTCTGCTAACATCATTTGGGAAATATTTAAAAAAGAAAGAAAAAAAAAACATTCAAAGGGGGGCTAGTATTTCTGACTTCAACTGTATATTAATATTTATGTATATTTAAAATATTCCTTAATTTTAAATTACAAAATATGGTTTACATTGTAATAGTGAAATTTGCTATTGTTCTGCAACAATCCAGTTATTCTTACAGTGCTCAGCACATATCAGTACACCCCTCACAAATTGCTAATTTAAATTAATATTTTCTATAGGATGCTTTACAATATTATACTTCTGTACATACATTAGTTTGGTCAGTACTGAAGCCAAATCTGGAGCTAATTAACAAAATAACTTACAATAAAGGTTAAAAAACTAGTAGCCCATATTTATATATTAGGAAAAATATTAAATACATATGTTTTTAAATCAAGAGACACAGAAAATATATAAAATTTTGTTGAAATGTTGTAGTTTGTAATTTTTAACATGAATCTGGATGTTTTATCTTTCCATTTCTAAAGATGTTAAGTAACTAAAATATTATTTTAATAAATATTTCTGTTTAATAAATCTGCTTTGGTCAAATGCACCATTATATATTACCCATATTCACTGAGAAATTGATCATTGTTTGACTCATGTATGCTGAGAACTGTGTACATTTATATAGAAATGTCACTGCAATGTAAAAGGCATTAATAATTTGACTAAAAACTTCTATTTTAAATGAATGCTGATTAACATTTCTTAGAAAGTTCTTTTTAAATCTAGGTTTCCACAAAAATTTAAACTATTTATTATTCTACATTTCTTAACTGGTTTAATTAAATGTTAAAATTTGCCATCACAGTAAAAATCTATTCTGGTAACAAATATCACAATATTAGCGTTCTGCTGAATTTAGTTTGAATTTGTTAGGCTCCAACCATAATTAAGCACACCGGATTAAGCTAATCTAGGTCTTCAAGTGTATTTAAACTGCACAACTGTGGCATTTCAAGAACCTGAGTTTGAGACCACTAGATTACAACCAACCCATACACAGTTTGAATGATGTGACTTTGTCATTTTCTATATTTGCGGATATACATGCCTCTTTTTTATCTCTGGACCTGTCAATCTCCTTCTTCAAGACCTCCACTTTTTTGAATGACTCAAGACAGTCTACACTGTAGACCAGCACGAAACCGTCAGCCACTGAGAAGAAGTGTTTGGGTAAATCAAGACCCTCGCGCAGCCCTCTTGTGTCGTAAAGGCGTAACTGCTCTCTCACTCCACGGTCTGTCTCAACAGAGGCCACATAAATATCCTCCTGAGTGTCACTCGTTTCTGCACCTAAAACAGGAAAGACGTTTACACATGGCTATTTAATCACAAAGATTTACTTCTTGATGACATTAAGCAGGAATTAAAACTGATTTGATCAAGACTGAACTGAAGAAAAGACACTAATGTCTAGCTGCTTTATACAGCATCCTTTATTCTGTGATTTGGCTTTTTTATTATAGTTTTTTTGTTTACTGTGAATGTATTTAGACACAATTTGTACTGTATAGCAATAAATCTGTAATGCGAAAAAGACATGAACTAAAAAATGAGTATTTTACATCATGTCAATAGTTTTAAATGTGCTAAATAGAGCTGGGATTTTTGATTCCAGAACTGACACAGATATTTTGAGTTCAGTACTGGATTCTTAAACGATACTTTTTCTATACCAATTTTATCAAATTTGTTCTAACAAGATTACATAATTTAAATTTTTTTCTTCAAAAGAACAAGTTTCTTTTCTGACTTTTAATTAGCACACCCTCAACATGTGCATGTACTTGAAGTCATGTTCTAAGTCAGCTGGACCTACACAAGCAGTCAGTCATCAGATGTCTGACTGCTAAAGCACAGATCTTATTTTGAGGTTGAGCTTAGTGAATAAACTTAGTGAATATTTTGAAAACGGCAAAAACAGTTGATGTGACTAATTTCATAAGGTTCTTTTTACAGCATCTTCTATGAAATGTAATCGAAATATCAAAAAGCATTTATTTAGTTGTTCTAGAATGAAATGAAGAGGCAAGCATGGAAAAATCCATTGAAAAAACTGGTAAAATAAAGATTCATATTTTAAGCACAGATGGCATATAACAAATGAATTGAATGCAGTGCTTCTTTTCTGGTCTGAGATGCACTTTAAATTGTTTAAATTGTTGTCTAATTAGGCAGTTAACATCAATGATTTTAAACAAACCAGATCTTAAATGTGGCGAGTTTATAATTGCATGACAGTTCACAAGAAGCATCCGAGCAGGCTTATTTAATATTAAACATTACCATATATATAGCCCATTTGTCATGTGTATTGTGAAATCTGCCACGTACATTCGACATGAGGCAACAAACACATGTAGACAGCGAAATATAAGGCAGGGATGTCCAAACTCAGTCCGGGAGGGCAGCTGTCCTGCAGATTTCAGCTCCAACTTGTCTCAACACAACTCACAAGGTGATTCAGGATGTTTCTAGAAAGCCTAATAAGAGTTTGGCTGTTTCTCAATTCCAAGAACACAGAGAACAGACTTGCGTTCTTGTGAGAACCGGTCCTGCCAGGTGTCCTCGAAAGAATGAACTCGGGAGACCACGAGAACAGAGAAGGAGTCCTCTATGAAATGAGATGCTGCGTTCTTCCTAGTTGTCACATGATCTTCACTCATTTTTTTATGGAAAATTATTGAAACATTACAGCATTCATACAACTATTTACTGTCAATGCTGTCCCCTTTTTAAAATATATACTATGCATGAAGACTTGACAAATGTACGTTGCACAACAAAAATATATATATTTTAATAGTATGTTCAGCAAATAAACACTCTTAATGTGTTTATTCCTTTATTAAGATGTTCATGGTAATGTTCATATTCACAGTTTCATTTAGGGAAACTCCTGAGATAAATAAGTTCTATCTCTGAACTTTAATAATAAACCTATATAAAAGCTGCGCTTCCCATCTCCAGTCGCAATGACTTCTAGGACTTCTAGAGTGTCCTCGATATCAAGAACACATCCAGGAACTTTCACGCGTCCTCTGTTCTTGCGGTCTTGAGTATTGAAACTGAACTTTGGCAGTTGATGATGATGTAACACGGAAAACGAGGACGCAAGATCGATGAAAAATCCAAATTCAGATAATTTAGTGTTATTGCACCCAAACTCTGGAACTCTACCACGCTCAGTCCGTTCTGTTAAGAATATCTTAGAATTCAAATCCTTAATTAAAACTCACTTATTTTCTGAATTCTTTACTTCTGATCTTACAAACTAACCACTTTATTTGATCGACCTGCACTCTGCTTATCTGTCTCTTAGGTCTCGTTTCGTATTGTATTTTTGACTTCCTGTATGTTTGTGTACCTAATGTTGTATCTACTTATGTCTGCTTGTACTATCTCTTTTCGTTACATTCTTTGTAAAGTGTCCTTGAGCTCTGGAAAGGTGCTATGTAAATAAAATGTATTATTATTATTATTTTTATTATTATTATTATTAATATATTGCGAAACAGCCCTTGATTAGCTAGCTAAACTTTGCAAGACACCGGCCCTCCAGGACTGAGTTTGGACAACCCTGATATAGGGGTTTAATGCATGTTTATGCATTGTGTCATATCACTAAGCTCCTACTGTCTTTTTTCTAGAGTGAAAGAACAGCAATACACTTCATTAAACATTATCTGTTTAATGAAGAGGTCAATAAAAATTCCTGGCTGTGTTGCGGATTTCATATATATTAAAGCTTCAAAATACGAATCTGATAACATCTCTGTCAGTCCTATTTTGTTGAGTATAAATATAATTTAGCCTATTTTCATCCACAACAAAACTCAAAATAGGTTTTTCTCCTAGATTAAACAAAAAGAGTAAACTTCTCTACTGCTTCAGTTGAAAAATATTTAAACAGGCATCTACTTTAAATCTTTTTTTCATAGTCCTGAGCAACAACTGAGTCTGTTGCGCATATGTAAATGTGCTGAACACATACCTACAGTATGACTCCCATATAGTAATTGCTCCAGGATGGCTGTTTTCCCCACAGATGCCATACCACAAACCACAACCTTGCAGCCCTTGCCCATAGTGACCTGTCATGAAACACACGAAGACTGAATAATTTAAAAGTAGAAGTATCCTATAAGTTTAGTGTGCTACCAAAATGTCTGACCACCTCTCCCACCACTCACAAATAAACTTTTCTAAATTTTACATTTAAAAATAAACAAATTCTATTAGCCAGCCAGGTGAATGGGGTATTTCTTTTTCTTAAAAAGCAGGACTTTTGCAGTTGTTAGACTAATTTTCTATTTAATTGTGAGGTTTAAGTAATGTGTTTTAGCGACATTTTAACCCTCTACTGCACGGCTTAACCATTTGGCAACATGACACTTATGTTCATATCTTTGCCACTGTTTCTTTAAGACCAACATATTTTTTTTATTGGAAAGAGAAGACCTTAGAGTAGCCAATGATGTGCTTTGGTTAAGTCACATGACATCCAGTGTTTTTCTGTAGCGCGATTTCTGACAGACTGGCGTTTATTGTGATTAGCTACTAAATGCAAATGTAAACGTCAATAAAAACAAAGGATCAAATTATGTCAGATTCACAAAAAAAAAATCTGAAACATCACCTTCAGTAAGTTATGATGACATATTCATAACTCAATTTTTATTTTTACCTAATTAGTTTTTTGTAAATCGATCAAATGTGTGTGTTACCAAAGGGCAACACTGTGCAATAGTGGAACATGCAATATTGCAATGGGTAAACTTGCAAGGTCAGCTGTGAACTTTTAAGTTGTAACAATAACAACATGAATGCTAGTAGCATAATGTTGATTAGTCATGTGATAATGGCATTTGCATTATAGATAAAATCTAGTTTTAATGGCAATACTACTTTTCAAAAGATATGAATAGAGGGAACAGTGTATTAGCGAGCACCACCATGTTCTATGGTGAGTGAAACTAGAAAAGGACAGAACTGGCTCTTCCTGCAGATGAAAATGAGGATGAGATGGGTTTTAGTGACCATGAGAATGATGCAGACTGGACATTTGAATTGGATACAATTCAGGTAAGTGTTAGCTCAGATGCACATAAGACAGATGTAGTTCATAGTATATAATATATAAACAGAATAATGTAGCTACTAGCTAACAATGATGCATCTGACTTGTTATTTGTTATAATATTTACTGGAGAAAATATTTATATTTACTGTATGTTGTATATATGATAAAACAATACTATGATAGTTTTCAATAATATTCAGCAAAAAAGAATGGAATAAATAAAAGCTGTTGGGATATGAGTTGTGGTAAAGAAGCTATCTTCACTAGACATGCATTCATTCAACTACTTAGACAAATACTTACTCACCTTACGCGGATAGACAGACAATGTACATCAATCTAATCGACCAAATCGGTCAATGATAGATAGATCACACGAACGTCAACACAAGATTTCTAATGTCATCGCTCTGTGCCAGTGGTGTTGTATATATAGCTTCCGGTAATCGATTGCTCGCCTTTTTGCTCTTTAGTCGGAATTGTTGCTGATAAGTGAACGTGGAGGCAAATCATATTATTTAGTATTTGAGGTAAAACAACTGTATAATAAGAACGCTTACAAAGTTAAACATTTGATCTAAGAGCTGGGTTAAAATGAATTCCGTATGTACACTACATTTCCCGAATGCCCGCAACACTAGGAACCGGAAATACGCACTGAACTGGCTAATAAAGCATTATGGGTACTTTTTCTCTCTCTTTCCGGTTAGTACGCCATCAAGTAAGCGAGACTCGTTTTTCCTAGTGTTGAATCCATCAAATATCTCATTGTTTTTAATGTCATCCGAATCACGTAATTCATGGGTTTTATTAGGAATATTTCAGATGAATTATCAAACCATTATTTTCCTCTATTGTGGCGTTATGCGTTATTTTTTATGCTAAATCGCGCAGAGCGGGGCAGCTAATGTCATGCCGAAGTTTGCACGTTTCTGCTAATTTTTTTTTCATCACTGTGTTAAACAATGTACATAATATTAAATGTAACATTCCCGAAGTACGTTGTTTGAATGTTAAAATATTGTATGTGGCACATTTTATGTAACTAGTCATGCCGAAACTACATACCGGTCACATAATACCGTTTATTACATTTCTGCGTCATAAATAAAGCCAAGTTAAGGCTTTCCATTGGGCTAACACTACACGATATATAACGCTATGACGTTTATGTAGTTTTTACTTGCGGTATTCAGATGTCAGAATCGTGGTCGGCCGAATTCAAATGATTGATAACCTAAAGATGTTAAAAAATACATATTGTCCTTTCGAATATATGTGTTGTTTAAGGTATTAAGTAGAAAATCAGTTTTGAAGTAAAAAATCAATTACAAAGAATTATGAATTATTAGTCTGCTTGTATACAGATGTAAATTAGTTTTATATCTGACTCTGGCACTTGTCATGTTGTAAATTGTCCGTGTATAAATAAAAATGTACTAGTATAATATATTTCAGTAATTTCTGGGTAACATTAACTATTTATATTTGAAATTTATACAGGCTGAGGCATCATGGGAGCGTACAAGTATATGCAGGAGTTATGGAGGAAGAAGCAGTCTGATGTGATGAGGTTTTTGCTCCGTGTGCGGTGCTGGCAATACCGTCAACTGTCTTCCCTTCATCGGGCTCCAAGACCCACCAGACCAGATAAAGCCCGTAGACTGGGATACAAGGCCAAACAAGGTAAATGATGGTTTATTTCTTGCAATTCATTCATATATTTGCATGTACTGGTTGCATATTTTTTTAAAGGGGTGGTCCACTACGATCTCATATTTTAAATTTTAGTTGATGTGTAATGTAGCTGTGTGAACATAAACAACATCTCTGAATGTAAAAAGTTCTAAGTTCAATGCAAAGGGAGACCTTGGTTTTTACAGAGTTAGCTTAGCAAAGCCTACAATGAACGAATTTTGGGGACTACAAAAAATACTTCCGCTTCCCCCTGTGAGATCACAAAAGTTTGTTACTGCGCATCTCACACTGCGCATGCAGGTAAGGGCCGTGGCCAGAGGTGCTGTAACGTTATAGCAGAGATGAAGGTAAAAATGCGTCTAAACACGGCTGTTTCCAAAGAGCTTCGTCTGTTTCTGTATTTGGGCTTCCAAAGGACACAACACAAAGACAGAAGTGCCTTTGGTTCAATATTAATTATGTTCCAGAGAGGTATAAAACGCACAGCAAGCATGATTTGACAAAACAGCTCCAGAATCTCTCCCAGTTCAGTGCTGGATTCGGCTAAAATCTTCTCAGAGCAGAAGTTGTAAGCTACAAGTGTTTTTATTTCTTAAAATTTATCATGACATGTACAGTGTCTAGCGTTAACGGTATGCTGTAGCAATGATGTAAACAATGCAAAATGCTGCTTTGCGGGCAAATGATTTAGCGTCAAATTCATATTTATCCGCCAAACTGCTGTAAACACACACATTCACTCCACCAGCACGGTCTCTTATGTGTGTGCGTGCACGACTGCACTGATCAGGTGCGTTCGACATGAAGCTCAGCTGCAGCCGGTGATCAACGAGATTAGCCGAGCGCAGGCGGGGGCGGAGTTGAAAACGGACCTGTCAAGACGGACAGCTGGACACTTCGGGACTCAAAGTTGCTGCAGTCATGATGACCAATTACATGGCGTCATCATATTTTTTTTTGTTTTTATTTATAACAACAAAACATTTGCAAATAAAACAGAATACAGTCTCTACAAACTATAGTTCCTTTTTAAACAATAAGGGAGAATTATGAATAAAATATATAACAAATGCATGAGAGAAATAAAAGGAAATGAGAGGTTAATATAAACATAAAAACGAACAGGTCTATTAAATACAAAGCAATAAGCATAAATTCTAGGAGTTATACATCAATCTTTAGGCTAATACTTCTTGTTTGAATATGCTAAAAAAGGGTTTACATATATGTACATTTATAGATATAAAAATTTCCAATGTAAAAGGCAAAACAAGGTGTTTTGATTAGGTCTTAATAAATGAGATTATTTTGGATAATGAATGAATTTTCAAAAAAGCATTTTAATCCATAAAGATTGTGTTGAAAAGAACAAAAAGTAAAATAAGTGAGCTATGTAGAAGTTTCCCAGAAAGAGCAGATAGCCTTTAAACTGCTAGACAGGAAATAAAACATATATTTATATTATAATAATAAAGCCATTTTATAATTATTTAATAAAATAGTTCTTTAACTTAATTTGTTAAGAGAGCTTTAGGGTGGCAGGATCAATGATGATGATTATTTTATTTCAAGTCTGTAAAACATATTTGAGTTCATATTTAGATTATTCACTAAAATATACACTAAAGTATATCATTTAATTTGTTCATGGAGAGGAATGCAGTAAACAGTCTGTATAAAAAAAGTTGTATAAAAAATAAACCTGTACGAACAAGCTAACCTTTATAACCAGATTATTTAACAAAAGATGATTACTGCAGTAAAATATTTGTAGTCTTTTAATAAGCAAGATGTGTACAGGATAGAGAAGGTGTGAAAAGTTAATTGTTTGTTTTGAAACTTTTGAATCGGAATTTGTCCAATTATAAACCCGAAATACACGTGTTTGTTGTCATGTGGTGAACTCGGCCAATCGTGTAATATTGGTTTCGTCATCAGAGCTCCTGCAGTCGCTCTTCAAAAGCTGCACGGACTGAGTCTGCCGTCTGATCTCGGAGCGCTGTCGCGGTACTTTGATGCCACATGTGACAGTCACGTGGCGTCGGCGCAGCATCAATCCGAACAAGATTTCTAACCAGTATGCGCAGCGCTGCATAAAGTTGAACGCACCTATCGTCTTCAGGCAGCTTTACCATGTGTTTCACATCTCAGATAATGAAGTCGCAAAAGATGTGTGGATGATTCATATTACTTACACCTGCATATTCCCGATACTCGTGAAAGGCGTCATGTAGAGTTTAAAAAAAAATACAGATTAGCTTACCTGACTCGTGGTCGCAGCAGAATAATAAATCAAGGCTCAACAGGCACAGTAGTAGCATCCCACATCTTGTGCTTTATTCTAATGTCACAATATATTACAGAAAATAACTTGATCCGAGCATCAAAGAAAAAGAAAGTCCCGTGCACATGCGCTGGTTATAGAAAGTTCACACATTCACACACACACATAGGCGCACACACAGACGCTGTTAAAGGTGCCGCACCCCATTTTCACTCGTTAGTTACAGACACTTGTCAGATTTTCTTTTAGAGAGCGGGTGGAAGGTTGACTATGTTTACACAGCAGAAAAGAGCGTGCTTTTACGGGGGTGACGTGGAGCCGATCCGCCAATAGCAGCACATTATGACGATGACCAATCAGAGTCACTTAAGGGCGAGCCTTTTAGAGGAACTAGGAAATATGACAGTTGTTTTCATGTTAGCTGAGTAGCTGCGTATAATCAAAGTGAGATATATGAAAAAATTACGCTATTTTCATTCAGTTTTCAAACATAAGCACACATGGCTTTGCATCTTATGAACACAACCAAGCCTTAATTACATTATCGACCACCCCTTTAATGATAGTCAAACACTATAGATGTTAGCGTTTTTTTTTTTTTTTTTTGAATTAATTAGATATGCTGTTTGTTTTATAACTGAGGCACTATATTTTTGCAGTTATGATTCGGTTATTATGATTCTTTTTTTTGTCATACAGGCTATGTTATCTACCGTATACGTGTGCGCCGTGGTGGCCGCAAGCGCCCTGTGCCTAAAGGTGCCACCTATGGTAAACCTGTGCATCATGGCGTCAACCAGATCAAGTTTGCACGCAGCCTTCAGTCAGTAGCTGAGGTATGTAAACAGCATCTCAGCCTGTGAGGTAATCCTCAAAAGGACATTTTGCTAATTGACACCAATGATTTTTCTTCAGTCACTGAATTAAATCATGCTATAAAATTAGGGCTTGGTTTTGCAGTATCGCGTAGTCTGTGATTTTATGGATTACTGGTTTCCTACTGCATACATGACCAAAAGGCTGAAACCATCAGCACATTTTCCCCCTGCGTTTCATTAAAGCTTGATTTACTGTTTGTTTTTAAAGTTTTTTTGTAATTGTGTAGTAATTACTTAGGGTTTGTAATAACTTTTAGGCTGGTTAATGGTTCTTTTGGTTTAGTTTTGTAAGAAATAATCACAATGAATGAGCCAACAATATAAAGGCCTGTTTCCACTATCAAAAGGTACCAGAAAGCGAACCATGCCATACCACTTTTTGAGTAGCCTTTCCAAATAGTACCTAGCACAACAAGTGTACCAAAAAGTGGAGCTAGACTTAGGGCATACTCACACTATGTACAGTTGCCTTGAACCGGGCCAAAGAACACTTGTCTCCCCTAACGACCCGCACTCACATTACATTCGGGCACAATGGAGATTTCTTAGTTTAATTGTTTTAGTCGTTTGGGATGCAATGACATGCAGTCAAATATTTTGCCGAACAGATCAGCCACTATTGACACTCATGAACAATCAAAGTCCTCGTGCTGCAGAGGTATTAGGAGGTTTGCTGAAGGTGCAGCTGTCGTACAATGAGGGGTTTGTGTCTTCAATAATCAACGACAGTTTGCGTTCATTGATCAGTAAGAATGATTAATTAATCTATATGAAACAGTCCAGTTAAAGTCACGTCTCGTCTTCAGTTTCGGGCTCAGGTGAGCTTTGCATTCGCACAACAAGCGAATTGTGCTCTGGCACACCTCTTTCAACTGGGCCAGGGCCAGCCAAGTGAACTGAGCCTGATTCAGAGCACTCACATTTCTCAAACGATCCGGGACACGGGCCTGGGCACGGTTTGGATAGCATAGTGTGAGTAGGCCCTTACATTGGTTTACAGAGAAATTTCAGAAAAGCAAGGAGAATCAAAACAAAGGAAGCACCATTTTTAAAACACACAGCTGACACATTAGAACTTTATAACATAGACATAATAACAAGCCATGGTTGACCCGAGCTTAATTAAATCTTGCCGTTGTCTTGATTAACAGACACAAAGTCAAGAAGAAGAGCAGAATCTGCATGTGTCCTGTTATTTGAGGCCGTCTAAAGCGTGAGGGTTTCACTTTCTCCAGACAGCTCATGTGCATGTCCATATTTAAAATTTTATATATATATATATATATATATATATATATATATACACACATATACATACACATACACACACACACACACACACACATACATGACGTATATAAAACAAATTTGTTTAGTAAGAAGTGCTTCTCATACAATCTGTGAACTTCAAGTAAGAATGATACTGACTTGAGGGCACGCTTTGTCGAACACCACGCCCACCAAAAGGATACCATTGGTAGTGGAGACACAAGCCTGATAAAGGTGACTTGTACCGAACCCCACCACTCAGTGGAAACTAGGCATAGTTTAGTACATGTAGATTTTTGATTAATATTTCTGAGCAAGTTATTTAAACGTAATGCCTGCCTGCAGTGGTGAGCAGATCCTTGTTAATACAAAAATAGCATTTATTATATTTATATTTCACTTTTATTTAACGACATGGCAGAGGAGATGCTTTTCTAAAGTTATTCCTTATTGCTGTATTCTACTTTGTTTAGATACCATACTTTACTGAGATGGCTATTTATCCTGCAACTTTTACTTTTTTTTTAATCTGAGCATAAATTTGCTGTTTTAGAATGTATGGATGTTTTTTTTTGTGTGTTGACTTAGGTTTAAAAATGGTTTTATTTACATAGAACAGAACTTATTGTAAGGGATATGCATCGAGACACCTGCACATGTAAACAAAAGCTCTGGCTAATGTATTTTGGCGTTCTTGTCAGTGGACTGTGCAACTTCTTGTTTTATTTTTTTTATTTTTTTATCTTCATCAGTTAAATAAAATTGCACTCAGATTCTTTTTTTTTTTTTTTTTTAATCATGCACTCATTTAGTACTGTACAGTAGTACGATGTTTCCCAATCCTATTCCTGAAGGCACATCAACAGTACACAATTTCAGCCTTCCTATTCAAACACACCTGAATCAAATCATCAGAACATTAGAAGAGACTTGAAAACCTGATTTGTATGGTTAAGGTCAGGGAGACATCTAAAATATGTACTGTTGGTGTGCTTCCAGGAACAGGCTTGGGAAACACGCCAGTAGTAATCTTTCCAGATACAGCTATTCTAGTTGTTTGATGACAGTTCCAGTATCAAAAGTAGTACCAAAGTACAATAACTTAAGAAGCCTGCAGTCAAGCCACAACTCTTTTCTGTGTATAAGCATGACACCATGCTTCCCTGACAAGATGTGAATAACATTCACAATTTTTAACTTAAAGTTGTAGTTTAAAGTCTTTGAAAGCTGATTGGAGCAATTTGTAACAGTTGGCTTTCACAAAAGCAAGTCTTTCTGATTAGAATTTATTTGCTAAACAGTTAAATATTGATGCAGCATAATAATGCAATATTTTACACTGCATTATAATGTAGATACCTGATTGTTTTATACTATTTTGTATTTCTTTATAGTCTGTTGTTTTTGGGACCTTCAGTAAGTAGTAAGTTATATATAAATAAGGAGGCATCGCACATGGCAAGGTGCATAAAACATTTCTAGTTCTCTTTAAATTGTTGATCACTTGCTTGATAATCCCATTTTGTATTCCAGCTATACAATTGAATTGAGAAACAACTGATTATTTAGCCAAAACCAATATTGCTAAATATTTCTTTTGAGGACATAATTTAAAGAGAAAGTATCAAAATGGCAGCATAGGACAATACTTTTAAAATCGCAATAATATTGCATCCAGATACAGTGTCGTGTTAATAATATATCAAGGGGACTCCCACTTTTAGCCATGGCTTCTGTTTACGGTTTCTGTCAACCAGTAATGCACAAGACTTTGATCATTTCTGGTGGGGTTGTTGATTTCAAACCTTTTTTTTTTTCAGGAGCGTGCTGGCCGTCACTGCGGAGGTCTCCGGGTCCTGAACTCCTACTGGGTGGGTGAAGACTCCACATACAAGTTCTTTGAAGTCATCCTTATTGACACCTTCCACAAAGCCATTAGACGCAACCCCGACACTCAATGGATTACCAAGGCTGTGCACAAGCACAGGGAAATGCGCGGCCTCACGTCAGCGGGCAAGAAGAGCCGTGGTCTGGGCAAGGGCCACAAGTTTCACCTTACCATCGGCGGCTCTCGACGTGCTGCATGGAAGAGACGCAACACTCTGCAGCTGCACCGTTACCGCTAGACAAAGTGTGCTTAAACTGTACATTTATCCAAATAAAGATCCTTTGTATGGTCATGTAGTGTCTTTATTTTGAGGTTGTAAAAGAACAGAATTCCAGTTGTTAGTCAACCAATCAACCATGAAACAAATTGCAAAATACATTTTAATTGAACCATTTAAAATCATCACATAAGCTGTCCTCTAAGTAAATTGTAGTGTTTGTCCACTTAGGATGGTATTTATGCAAAGTTCAATAAATAAAAACTATTGACTTCCAGATTGTTTTTCAACTCTGGTTGAGAATGGTTACAGGTTTCAGCTTTCTTCAAAATATTTTCAATAGAAAAAAGAAAAGATTTAGAAGCAATTGTAGTAAATATTGAGCTAGTTGTATTGATCTGAGTAATAATTAAAATCAAACAGACTCATGTTTTGTGATTGGCTGTTTGCTGCATGTTACTTTCAGGTGTAAGTGGTCCAGATTTAGTCTTAAGCTCTGATTTAAACGGTTTAAATTAGGAAGCCACTTAACATGGGTTCTTTAACTTGATGGTTCCTATTACAGGATTTTTTGAGTTGGCAAATTTAAACTGGTGCAATTTGGATTTGTTGGAACCATGATCATTGATCTGAGGTTTTGATCGCCTTGGGTTCATGAAAGTCGGACATGCCAACAGCCAATCTCACAACAAAAAAAGTGTTTCTCTTGATTGACTTTCTAGTTTACAGCGAAAGATAAATAATTGTAAAAAGAAACATGCTGCAAGGTGTAAAGAGCTGCCCATGAAAAAGGAAACCGTTTTATTTGTGCAAGTGAAGTTAATTAGCATAGTTTCTAATATTTACAGCTACACAGACTCAAAAATCTAAGCTAATATAATCTTTTCTATATCTTAGTTGAAAATAAAGTACAGCTGTATATTTTTAAATGTATACGTAAAATAAGTTTTAAACTAAAGTTGGTTCTATGTATTGGATTACACATTTTATGGAATATAAAAGTCTAATAAGTTATATTAAATCTAAAGGATTATATCAAATAATTTCAAGTTTATTCGGTTAATCTAGCAGTTGATGTGGACAATGGGACTTCAGTTTAAGTGCAACTGTGGGAATAATTTGCTAGAAAACACCAGTGAACAATAGATTGCTCTGAAACTTTCTAACTTGACTTTTTGATTAATTTATTTTCTAATGTTGTAGAGCATTCCTGTCAAAGACACCGGAAATTGACCTAGAGTCAATCTATGGAGACACCTTTGCGTCAGAGGGCTTGTCTGACAATAAAGTTAAGTTAGCCTGGTCAAGTAAGGTTTTACTCATACTCAAATTTGTTCTCTGCTTTTATCACATCCAGGTGTGCACACACACATCCAACATGCAAACCATTATGCCACATCTGCCCCCAAGCCACTGAGGGATGCTTAATTGACCCCAAACCTAGCCAAGTTTGAGGCTTAAGAGAAAACCTAAGAACAGGCATCTGGGCCACAACAGACTATGTAAACTACCAAGTATGCAGCACACCAAGAAAAGACAACATTTCTCATGCAAATGATCACAGTAGTACAAGCCAGAACTTGTAACTTGTAAAAATTAAAATAAATGACTGATCTTCAACATCCATGACACAACATTTCTTTGTGGAGTTTGCATGTTCTTCCCATGTTGGCGTGGGTTTGCTCCAGGTGCTCCAGTTTCCCCCGCAGTCCAAAGACATGTGGTATATGTGAATTGGGTTGGCTGAATTGACCGTAGTTTATGTATGTTGTGTAGTGTAGTGTAGGTGTTTCCCAAGGATGGGTAGTGGCTGGTATGGCATTTGCTGCTGGATAAGTTGGCGGTACATTCCGCTGTGGTAACCCCTGATTAATGAGAGACTAAGTCAGAAAGAAAATGAATGTAAAATGAATATAGTATGTCAGACAGATGTACAATGGTTTGATTATTTGGGGATGCATGTTAAGAGGCTTAATGGTAGGGGAGTTGCACTTTCAGGTTGAAGTCCCGGTACCAGCATGAATTAAAGACATGGAAGTTATGTATGAGGAGAAGAACGTAATAGCTGTACATTCACACTGCAAGTAAGAATGTAAATCCACCATGTGTGAAAGACAAAAATACTGAAAGGGATTCTTTGAAACTATTTTGTTTCTTTCATTTTTAATGTGCCATTGTATCAATAAGTAATTGTATATGTGGCAAGATATTAACTTATAAAATATTAGCTGTCATATTCTCATCACTTTATTTTATTTGCTTTCTTCACTACTGTAAATAGAGAAATAACGGGTATAAGGAAAAACATTAGGAGATTGTTTAAGAAGTAATTTTTCTTTATTGTTTGGGTAAAATGTTAATATTTATTTTATTCTATAGAGGTCTGATAACATTTGTTTCAAATTACAAATAAAAATTTATGTACTTTTGAGATTTTATATTCAGAAAAGTTTATTTAGTCAGGATATTTTTCTTATTTTTTATTTTTTATTAAAAATCCTTCCCAAGAATTGATTTTCAAATTATTTAGATTCTTTTTTGTATGTCTTAAATCATAAGAAAACATAATATAGACAACATTGTAAATGACAATGTATAAAAATAAATGTACTTAGCGAAAGATGTTTCACCTAAAACTACAAATTGTAAATAAATGACAGTTTTGATAATAAATGACATATTTGAAAATGTGCACCAGTTAATAGACGTTTGTGTGTGTGTGTGTGTGTGTGTGTGTGTGTGTGTGTGTGTGTGTGTGTGTGTGTGTGTGTGTGTGTGTGTGTGTGTGTGTGTGTGTGTGTGTGTGTGTGTGTGTGTGTGTGTGTGTGTGTGTTTTACCAAATCAGTGACATTATTTATGAATTTGGCAATTAAAGAGGTTGGTACTAAGGTTGATTATCAGATTTATGCAAAAAAAGCTAATTAAAAGCAGTTAAAGCAGTTCAAATTAGATGTTTTTCATCCCAAACATAACAAAAGGGTTGTAATAATTGAACCTGGAAGTGCAACTCCCTAACCATTAAGCCTCTTACATGCTTCATCCCCAATTAACCAAACATTGTACATCTGTCTGACAAACTATTTGTAGAACGAACTGTCAACTTATCCAGTATATGTTTTACGCAGCGAACACCCTTCCAGCTGCAACCTAACACTGGGACAGACCCATACACTCTTGCATTCACGAACATACACTACGGCCAGGAAACCAACGCGAACTTGGGGAGAACATGGTAAATGGTGCCAACAGATGATTGATAGTAATAATGGCAAATTTTATCTCTTTCCAACAGGAAAAATCACCAACAATCAAAATCCATGATTATATGGTGTCATGCTTTTGTAATAAAAATGTGGTTACAATGAAAGTCAATGGGGCACTAACAGCAACCAACAGTGAATTAGGGAGGAAAAAATTAAAATCAGTTAAAAATGCATCAAAGGCACTGTTGTTTCACACCCAAGACTTTGATAAAAGTTAATATATATATATCCAGTCCACAATTACATTTTATATTAAAAGTAAATCATTTATGAATTTGGCAATTAAAGAGTTAAAATCCTGTAATTTTCTAAGCAATAGAAGTTTTGATCAGGACTTAGGTTGATTAACAAATTTATGCAAAAAGCTGATTAAAAGCAGTTAAAGAAGTTTGATTTAGATTAATCCCTAACATAACAAAAGGCTAGTAAATTTGCTCAAAGTGTATTGTTGAGTTTTTCAAAAATGTAAAAGCATTTTCTTAAAATAGCTATGTGTCAAAATAAGATTTGTCACCAAAAATCAGAGTGGATAAAAACATCCCCAACAGTGCATAGGGTATATGTTCAGTAATATTATACACTTTACTAGCAGATATTACTTTCTGTTGTGTACATTTAGGCCATTGTTTTGATTTTGAGCATTCATAATTTAATCTCTATATTCATAGGGTTTGTATCTGTATCTGTAAAATGCATTAGAAGTTTGTTTGCTGTAAATCTGTAATAAACTGAAACACATTTTGGAGATGAATGTATTGTAATGTATATTTATATGGCACATTTATTGTGTATGCCCATACACCCAAACCACTTTACAATCATTACGCGGGATCTCTCCACACCACTCTCCATCCACTTGGATGATGCGATGGCAACCACAGGACAACGGCGCCAGTGCACTTACCACACACCAGCTGTAGGTGGAGTTGGGAGAGTAATAGGATGGGGATGATTGGGAGGCCATGATCGTAAGGGCTGATTAAGGGACTTTTAGGACACCAGAGGATTTTTAATGACCACAGAGAGTCAGGACCTCGGTTTAACGTCTCATCCGATAGACAGCACCCACTGACAGTATAGTGTGCCTTTCACTTTTACAGGTGCATTAGGACTCACACCGCAGGTTTAGTTTATTTAATTCACCTATAGCACATGTCTTTGGACTGCAGGGGAAACCGAAGCACCTGGAGCAAACCCACGGCAACATGGGGAGAACATGCAAACTCCACACAGAAATGTTGTGTCATGGATGTTGAAGATATGTCATTTATTTTCATTTTTACAGTTACAAGTTCTGGCTTTTGACTTTAATAATAGAGTAAATCTATTAATCAGCATATGAGCACACCCCTCATAAATATCTCTTTTAAATTAATATTTTCTGTTGACAGAATTTACAGTATCATATTTGTGCATAGACCTTAGATTAGTCAGCACTGAGGCCAAATCTGGAGCTAATCTAACAAATAACTTATGATAATGTTGGTCCAAATATGGGATGCCCAAATCGATATGTCAGAGATAAATATTAAATAAAAATCTTTAAAAGAGGAAAAGTTAAGAGAAACAAAAATTATTACAAATCATGTAGTTTTTATTCAATATATTGCATGAATTAAAATGTATTATCTTTATGTTTCTAACGATGTTCGGTGACTAAATTATTATTTTAATAAACACATCTGCTTAATAAATTTGTTTTGTTCAAATGCACCAAAATATAACACATATATTCACTGAGAAAAAGGATAAAAATAAATAATAATTTCCAAAAGGGGATGTACTCATTTATGATGATCACATAGAAATCCTATCTCATAAGGGTGTTGTCATAATTCATGGGCAAACTCGTTTAAAATTCCTCCTCGTCAAAACTTTAAATTCAGTAAACATATTTAGCCCCCAGACCCCTGACCTCTGTAGTCAGATCCTAAAATGGAATGGAAAAGCTTAGCAAGTATTTGGTATGAGAACAATCTCACATGCTCATCAGTTCAGTGGAAATACTATAAAGTGGCATTACTGAATGAACAACAGATGTGAATGTAACAATAAATAATGTCAAACATAACAAATATGATTTTATAAAATTTGGGATGTACATATACCATTTAATATAAAAGAGTTTAAGATAGGCAACACTTTAATAGTCCATTAATGTATGCACTAACATGAACATAGCAGTGTTGATTAATCTTTGTTCAGTATGTTCATATTAACTCAGTGTATTATTACTACATTAACATTACTACATTAAATTTGATTTTAATAATGCATTAGTAAATTTTAAACTGTGACTAATAAATGCTAAATAAGATTTAAGCATTTAAAGTAATAAGAAATACAATGTGTTGAAAACATACAGTTGAAGTCAGAATTATTAGCCCTCTTCAATTTTTTTTCTTCTTTCTTTAAATATTTTCCAAATGATGTTTAACAGAGCAAGGAAATTTTCACAGTATGTCTGCTAATATTTTTCTTCTGGAAAAAGTCTTATTTGTTTTATTTCGGCTAGAATAAAAGTAGTTTTTAATTTTTTAAACACAATTTTAGGGACAAAATTATTAGCCCCTTTAAGCTATATATTTTTTTCTCAATAATCTACAAAACAAACCACTGTTATACAATAACTTGCCTAATTACCCATACCTGCCTAGGTAACCTAATTAACATAGTTAAGCCTTTAAATGTCACTTTAAGCTGTATAGAAGTGTCTTGAAAAATATCTAGTAAAATATTATTTACAGTCATCATGGCAAAGATAAAATAAATCAGTTATTAGAGATGAGTTATTAAAACTATTATGTTTAGAAATGTGTTGAAAAAATTTGCTCTCCGTTAAACAGAAATTTGGGAAAAAATAAACAAGCGGTCTAAAAATTCAGGGGGCCAAATAATTACTATATAATAACTGTATTATCAACATTTTTTTTGAAATTGGGGTTTACATATATAAATAAATACATAAATATAAATAAAGCTTTCCATTGAGGTATGATTTGTTGGGATAGGACAATATTTAACCGAGATACTATTTTAAAAAAAAACTGGTTTTAAAATACAGAGAAATTTGCCTACAAAGTTGCCCGAACTATGTGCTTGGCGTTACACACTAGTAATTAAAAATGAGTTTATATAAAAGAAAACTTACAAAATATGGAATCATGGAACAAATTTTGAACCTAACATTATAATCATTTTTGTCATTTTGACCTATACAATGTATTTTTACAGTTTCTACAAATTTTATATATAATTTACTCTTGTATTTTTTTAAATTCTTCTTTTTATTCAGTTGAACACAAAAGAAGACATTTTGAAGAATGCTGAAAACCTGTAACTATTGACATAGTATTTGTTTTTGCTAATATGGAAGTCAATGCTTACAGGTTTCTTTGAATATCATGTGTTCAGCTGAAAAAAGAAACCCATAAGTGTTTGGAACACTTGCGAGTGAATGTTTTGTCGTCCAGGTTTTACCATTCAGCTCCCTTTGTTTATATATATATATATATATATATATATATATATATATATATATATATATATATATATATATATATATATATATATTATTTACTTTTTTGGCTTCCTCTGAGTTTGTAGATCTTCTTCCATTAATGTGCAGAGCAAACACTGGCTACTGACATTTAAAATAGTCAGTTTACTGTTTTAAAGCGAAGCTGTCAGGGCGTTTTCTTTCTGTATGTAAGAGGAGCTACAGCCCAGGGGTCATCAGAGCACTTCGGGTGTGGGGTAAGGGTGCATAGAAGACCCCTGCAGGAGCATTAAAAGTGTGTCAGTGGGTTATGCTGACACTAATGCAGAGGGAGGAGCCACCGTCGTGAAGTGGGTCACATGATCTGGAGACAGTAGCAGCCGACGCTCAGTTTCGCTCTATTCGCCCTACGTGCGCCCACACAGTGTTAAACCGAGGCTCGTTTTATTCAGAAAACCGATCTACAGCAAGCTGAGTTTTTGACAGACTTGTAACCGTGTCGTTTTAGGCTCTAATGCTTTTAAATTACGTTTCGGACTTCGGATGTCTACTTTTCCAAAACAAAACAATTACAGACTTTTTTCCCATGTTTCTAAGAGGATAAGTTAACTGTTTTTTCCTACCTAGCAACAGGGCGCTTTTATCCATTTTGTTGGCTTAACAGTTACTTGGGAATGTTCCGCAGGTAGTGTCTAGGTAGAGAGATAACTTGCTCGTTTATTGGATCACGGCGACTAGATAGTTGCTGCAAACTGTAAAAACGGCAGTATCGGACAGGTGACTGCGGCTCAAAGCTGTCGGAGGACATGGAATCCACAAAGGCTGGTACGATCAATCTATTTGATTCTTTTCCTTTTACATGGGACTAACGTTAATAATCAGTTTCTTTCAGTACACTTGTTTAAATAAATGACTTCTTATCGTGTAACGTTATATGGATGATATGCTATGAATTTTCTTTGCACATTAAGGTATAGCTTGGACTTTGAATATTTATTTGCAGCATGAAAACACTAAGTAGGTTAATAGCGTCAGGCTTGTGTTGTTATGCTATAGATTGTGGGTTACTATTGAGCTGCAGTCTCTCAACTCACATGGATTGCTCAGCCTAGCCATGTGCATCTGTGTTTACGCGTTTTGTGCGTCTGCTCCTATTGGCCGAGTGAAACAGTGACGTACGTGTTGCATAATTTGCATGGCAGCATGGATGCGTCTGCAGCTGCAGATACACGTGAGGTGGCTGTGGACTGACCCACTTTTCAGCTTTTACACTCCCAACAAGACATGCCGACTACACGTGGGGGCGGGACTAAGAACTTGCTCTATGACGTTCATTCATTTTTTGTTCAGAGAATAACTTAATAACATTGATAATAAAATTGATTTCTGATTAAAAGTTTTAAACATTTTTAAAGTTTAGAAATACTATATCTATCTATCTATCTATCTATCTATCTATCTATCTATCTATCTATCTATATATATATATATATATATATATATATATATATATATATATATATATATATATATATATATACATACATACATACATACATACATACATACATACATACATATATTGTAATTTATGGATTGTGTGTGTGTGTGTGTGTGTGTGTATATATATATATATATATATATATGTATGTATATTTGTGTGTGTGTGTATTCACAATGTTTATTTTGAACTTAACTGTCAGTTTGTAAAGAAGCCTACACCCTGAAAGAGGTATTATGTAATGGTGTTACCTAACCGTTTAGAGTGGGGCAGCAGAAATCAGGTCAACCCATACGGAGAGCACAGAGTCAAGTCCACTTTCTGGTCATATAAATGGCTGTACTTTTAAATAAATCTTAAGAACAAAGAAAACTTGTTTTGTTTTTTTATACGGATTGCATCTACTCTGTATCTATTAATATTGTTGTATTAACAATGACAAAGGCTGTTATATGTCAGCAGTTATATATAAAAGTTTAAAACAACATTTTGCTCATGTTTTATACTCAGTTACTTCATAATAGATATGTACATATTAGGATCCATGTAATTTAGAAAACAGCAAGCCTAACAGAAGTCTTCTTGTCTTGCTCTTTTGTGTGTCATCCACCAGGTGGAGTAATAGCTTACATTAGCTCCTCAAGCTCAGCCTCCAGTCCAGAGTCGTGCCACAGTGACTCCTCCAACAGCAGCTTTCAGTCCTGCTCTCCACCCCATACAGGGCAGGGCCAAGGCGAGACCCTTCATGTGGCCTCTCATTCTCGCCCACCAAGGCATGGTGGAGGGAAAGCACGATCACTCTCCTCCACCAAAAGTGGCATTACAAGTAAGTGACTATATTAAAATCTGGTTAAACAGAACAAGAAATGCTTTCATACTAGAAGCAAACATTTTTAAGATTAACATAATGTAACATTCATTTTTAATGTTACTGCATGAATATATATGATTTATTTTCCTATCCTAGCAAAAGAAAAACTTTATTGTATTGCCTAAACATTCATTCATTATTTTGCATTCCCTATTATTTATTTTATTTTTAATAGTAAAGTATGCATCTATGCTTAATAGCAGGGAGCTCATAATGCAAACACAGAAACAGACTCAGAAAATTGCTATGCTTTGCATTTAAACTGTTTGCTTCATCATGAAGTAATGGTCTAGCTATTCGAGGAAACGGAAAATAGTCAAACAGAGCGCAGAGTATTCCTTATCTCATTTTCTGTATTTCTGCTCCTGCAGAGATTAACGGTCTGGTGCTGCTATGTAAAGTGTGTGGAGATGTGGCGTCAGGATTTCACTATGGTGTTCATGCCTGTGAGGGATGTAAGGTGAGAAAATATGGAGTGTTTATCACTCAAACTAGGTGTTAGTAGCCACTGCCACATTTTGTTGTATAAGCAATCGAGGTTTCATTGTGTTATTTATTAGGTATAGTGCAATATTAGTTACAGTACCAAGTCAAAGGATCAAAAATATGTCTGAAATGTTGTCTGAAAATGTATGTTTTTACTACAAATTTGCACAAATGGACCAGAATTTCTTGATGAACAAATCAGGTATTTTGTTGTGCTGTGCAACAAGGTCCTCTTGTAGCATTTGCAGAATCAAGGGCAAGTGAGGTAGTCACTAGCAATAAATGCATATCTTTTTATAAAAGTCATGTGACCTACAAATGTGGGGGAGTTTTGCAAAATATTCCTTTTTTAAAGTGCCTGAGAAAGCAACTCATATGAGTGTAAAACATACAAAATGGAAAAAAAGGCATTACATGGGTGAAATTTACTTGTGCATCTTCCTGAAAGAAGATATCACTTTGCCTTATTTAAAAAATATAGAAAGCCCCTACCCAACAATCTGTTTAACTAGCAGAGCAAAGTTTCTGACAAAATGCTGTCTTCAGTCCTGAAAGGGACACCTGCTCTACATACTGACCCCAAGGCTGGACACCCGTTACTCACTGTGTGGGCACTGTGACCCTGACATCTCTCTTTATCTCTTTCACTTTTCCACACTGCAGGGTTTCTTCAGGAGGAGCATTCAGCAGAACATTCAGTATAAGAAGTGCCTTAAGAACGAAAGCTGTCCCATTATGCGCATCAACAGGAACCGATGCCAACAGTGCCGTTTCAAGAAGTGTCTGCTTGTGGGCATGTCAAGAGATGGTGAGCTCATGCTGGCTCTGTGTCCTAGTTCTAAACAATGTCATCTGTTGACTGTAAACCTCAGTGGGACATTAAAATAAATGTTGCCTTGGTTTTATTTTATTTTACAGAAAGAGTGTCAAAGGCAGATTTGGATAGATTACAATCTCTAATTTGATTTCTGTCTATAATTAACCATATATCTGTCTATGATTTTTCTAAGCTGTTAGTCTGTTAATGGTTGTGAATTGACTGTGTCTGTGCTCCTTAGCTGTGCGTTTTGGCCGGATTCCCAAACGAGAAAAGCAACGCATGCTGCTTGAGATGCAGAATGCTATGAACAATATGATGAACAACAGCCACGGCAACCAGTCCCTTAACAACCAGACTTCAGCTGCTGATGGCACTTCTGAGGATGGCACTTCTGAGGATAGTACTTCTGGTCCTTCCTCTCGATCCCCCTCAAGCTCACCCAGGAGCAATCGATCTGAATCCAGCCCAGATCCTGAGCTGCAGATTGCCATGGATACAAGCTCAAGCTCAGACTCATCCAGTGCTACTGACAGTGGAGAAGAGGAGGTTATTGGCACAGTCACTAGGGCACATCAGGAGACATTCATGTATAATCAGGAGCAGGGCAGTATGGCTTCAGAGGCGCTTAATAACTACAGCCATTGCACAGAGAAGACTCAGGAGGTCTTGAACCACCAGAACAATGTGTCCTCAGTAAGTGAACAGAATCCACAGTCGAGCTGTGGTCCACAGGGTCCTGAAGACTCTGGTCAAGACTACAGTACTCTGAGCAGCTGTCCAGTCCGACTTTCCAATAACAGCTCCAGGGGACCATCTCTGCAGACCCTTACTTTTAGAGCTCACAATGATCATGAAACCCATGCCAATGGCAGCTATATTGTCCCAACATTTCCAAGAGCAAACAGGATGCACCTGGTGAGTACCAGTACCAAAAGAGCAATACCAAAATTTCAGTTGTCCATTCTGAAACTTTCATGATGCTATTTTACAGGTCTGCCCGATGAATACATCACCATATGTAGATCCTCAGAAATCAGGTCACAGTATTTGGGAAGAATTTTCCATGAGCTTCACACCAGCTGTCAGGGAGGTGGTGGAATTTGCAAAGCGTATTCCAGGATTCAAAGATCTATCCCAGCATGACCAGGTCAGCCTGCTCAAGGCCGGCACCTTTGAGGTATGAACCAAATACAATGCAATGTTTAGAATAAGAGACTGAGTCTTATGCAAGTAATTCAATTACTTTGAACTGTGAAAAAAGAACTGATGTTTCTTGTTTTGTTTTTTTTATACAGGTGCTGGTGGTCCGTTTTACATCCTTGTTCGATGTGAAGGAGCGCAAGGTTACATTTCTGAGTGGCAGGAAGTATAGCGTGGATGCTCTGCGCTCGTTGGGAGCTGGAGATCTTCTCAACTCAATGTTTGACTTTACAGAAAAGCTGCAAGCTCTGAATCTTAGTGAGGAGGAAATGAGTCTCTTCACCGCTGTAGTGTTGGTGTCTGCAGGTATTTATCACTTTCTTTTGTGTCATTTTGTTCTTAGACCTTTTCCCATATTGTATTTGAGATGTTTGGCATGTATTACTGTGAATTGAATCAAAATAAATGATTACAAAAAAACAGAAGGAACAAGAAGTGAGTGGTATCAGGAATGCTATGACGTTTTACTGAACCCATGAAAATGTGTTAAAATTCCCTGCTCTGTTTCTCCCAGATCGCTCTGGTTTAGAGAATGTCAACTCGGTTGAGGCCCTTCAGGAAACTCTGATAAGAGCTCTGCGCAGCTTGATCACCAAGAACCACCCCAACGAGATCGCCATCTTCACAAAACTGCTTCTCAAACTCCCAGACCTGCGCTCTCTTAATAACATGCACTCTGAGCAGCTCTTGGCCTTTAAGGTCCACCCCTGATCGCCCACCAACTCTCATAAACTTGGACCACACTCCACTCCATCCACCTCTAGATCCTCCAACTCATTCCTGGGGCCCACTCAGCCCCTTTTGCTGACATTTTCCCCCGTGACCTGCTGGTTTTAAAATGGAGGTAGAGGGGGGCACAATAGAAGTCATTGTACTGTAGTATGCCTCTGTTTGAACTAACACACACAACTTGCAAGCACAAACTGGAAGGGTTTCGTTGTAGATGCTTACGAGAGTTTGTATGATTATGCAGTTTGTGTGTGTGCAAAGGCACCTTGAATTTGTTTTTGGATTTAAATTGCTTGTGCAATAAGTGGCACGTTCACTGTTTTTGGATTGTTTCTTGTTGGTCACTTAATACTTCCAGAAAAGAGGAAGTAAGGTATCTTGTGGAAATACCTAGGCTTTGTTTCTACACACAAGCTTAAAACAAATGAGCACATTCTGACATGCTTTCTTATTTGAAGATGAGAAAATGACAAACTATGAATGAAACAACTATGAATTAAAGAATGTGGAACAAGCTGCTAATCAAACTTTTTGGCAGAAAGACACAAGAATGTTTAACGGATAGATCTATTTTTGAAGTTTGTTTTAGGTCTGAAGAACTCTTTTTCAAGTGAAAGCCACTTTATCATTAGGCCCGAAACATTATGCAAGCATGGGAAAGCAAACGTCTCGTCTTTTTCAATCTGAAACGTTAGACCACAAGTTTTAACATGTGATAATGTAGGAGAGATTTGCCAAATCTCTGTTTTATTCAGTTTTCTCTTTATGCGACTGCCATAGTAGAATGACTTAGACCGTCTTTGCCAGTTAAACTTAGTTCAATTATTAATGTTTATAGCTAGCTACAAGCATTGGTTTAATGGCAGACATTTAAACGTGATTCTGTCACCTGCTTGTGTTTGTTGCTGCCAGTATTTAACCAGACTGCATACTTGGCCAAGCGTTTGCTTTCTTGCATAGAATGTTTCTGACTTTAGATCTGCATAAAGATGCAGCTATGTTTATGTTTCGATTCATAGGGCTTTTAGTAATGACACAATCTTTGTTGATGCTAAATGACAAAAGGAGGAGTAGAACGTAATGCATTTTATCACTGAGAATTTCATATTCTACTCCCGGTACCGATGAGACACAAAGCCATCAACAGTCATGTTATAAATGCCTATAGCTGAGGTCATGTAATTCTGTTCATTTCTTATTCTTTATTTTGGGCAAGTCTGATCAGCGATTGTGTAATTTTTGTGTCTGTATGATCTACTGCACTAAGCAAACCTAATCGTCGCTTCATTAGACAGAAAGATACAAGTGGTTTGATTTGAAGAGGAAAGAGAAATTGGCCCAAAATTCCTTCAATGCCTCTCATCTTGCTGGCTTTGAGCTCTGCTGCAGATTAACGGTCAAGTAAAGAAGTATCTCGAATTCCGTTTGGTGTTGGTGTTCATCATTGTTCTGCCTGTGGCTCACTCAGTGACATTGTTGTGTTGCCATAATACAGTCTGTTTTTCTCTCTCTCTGTGAAAGCATTATATGATAGCTAGATTTATATATATATATATAAAATAAATATACATAATATAATTACATGAATACAAAATAAGAAAATAAACAAATGCTGAACATTCTCTCCTTGTGTTGTTATCTTTGAACAACGAGTTCGAAGCAAGCAAAAAATCTACACCTTTTAATTAAAATATAAGCACTTAATAGGCTTCAGCATTCATTTAGTAGTTCAAGCGTAAAATGAGATGAAAGGCTATTCAAACCTAAGTGCCATCAGGATTGCTGTGTTGAGAAGTATGCAGTAATACCTCATTTTAATTCATTGTTACTTTATAACATGTAATGTAAAACTGCAATGCTGGAGACTCCAGTGAGAATGTATGTGGAAAGTGTTGGCTAAAAGAAACAAGAAGAATAAAGGGAGAAGTTGAGTGTTTTATGTTAATAAATGAACACAAACTGGCCATAAGAAAGAGCGCTTCTGTGCTAATCCCGCCTCCATTTCTGTCTGTCAGTGGGCGATTGATGAAAATTATTAAAAATATAACATTTTGCCAGAATGTGTAATGCTGCTGCAAGTAAAGCCTCTGTGGTGGTTGTTCCAGATGTTACTCTGCACTGTGTGGCTAACATGAGGCAAGTTGTTGCAGCCAATAACATCTGAAGTAAATATTGAAGCATCAAGAGGTAAAAAACACATACACTGTTGAAAAAAGGGAACACTTAAACAACTCAATATAACTCCAAGTCAATCACACTTCTGTTAATTCAAACTGGCCACTTAGGAAGCAACACTGATTGACAATCAATTAACATACTGTTGTGCAAATGGAATGGACAACAGGTTGAAATTATAGACAATTTGCAAGACACGCCCAATAGAGGAGTTGTTCTGCAGATGGTGACCACAGAACACTTCTCAGTTCATATGCTTTCTGGCTGGTGTTTTAGTCACTTTTGAATGCTGGCTGTACTTTCAGTCTAGTGGTAGCATGAGATGAAATCTACAACCCACACGAGTGGCTCAGGTAGTGCAGCTCATCCAGGATGGCACATCAATGCATGCTGTGGAAAGAAGGTTTGATGTGTCTGTCAGCAGTGTTCAGAGCATAAAGGCACTACCAGGAGACAGGCCAGTACATGTGGAGCTGGCTGTAGGGGGGCAACAACCCATCAGCAGGACCACTACCTCCAAAGTCCTTTTAAGGCATGTCATTTAACTTGGTGGCCATCTTTGAAAAACCTCTCCGGTTGTAGACTTGGACATTCTGTCTGAATGGGGAAACATTAAATTCTCCAAAACTGCTCACAAAGTTTACGACATATCATACAAAGTCTGCAAAAACTCATGTCTGGTCCAAGCCCCTCGCCTGGAGTATCATCAGTCTATATCGATCAATGATTGGCTCCTGTACTAGAAGGCGGGCTTTATTTGCCATATAAAGATCAATGATTGGCCCCTGTATTAGAAGGCAAGCTTTTTTCGCGATATTGACTGTTACACTTTTCCCTGATTCAAAAAAATACGAGTGACATATCTTGTGTATTCTAAAGTCTTTGCTACCTCTGCCTTTGTGTAAGGAGGAACAGAAGGAGCACTATCAGAGCTCTGCAAAAAGACCTCCAGCAGGCCACAAATGTGCATAGGTCTGCCCAAACGGTCAGAAACAGACTCCATGAGAGTGTCTTGAGGACCTGACATCCGAAGGTGATGGTTGTTTTTACAGCCCAATACTGTGCAGGTCATTTGGCATTTGACCATTCGTTCATTTTCTTTTCGGCTTAGTCCCTTTATTAATCCGGGGTCACAGTGGAATGAATCACCAACCTATCCAGCACGTTTTCTGCAGCGGATGCCCTTCCAGCTGCAACCCATCTCTGGGAAACATTCATACACACTCATTCACTACAGACAATTTAGCCTACCCAGTTCACCTGTACTGCATGTCTTTGGACTGTGGGGGAAACCAGAGCACCCTAAGGAAACCCACCCAATGCAGAGAGAACATGCAGACTTCACACAAAAACACCAATTGACCCAGCCGAGGCTCGAACCAGCGACCTTCTTGCTGTGAGGCGACAGCACAACCTACTGCGCCATTGTGTCGCCTAGAGAAGACCAAGATTGACAAATTTGCCACTTGCACCCTGTGCTCTTCACAGATAAAAGCAGGTTCACACTGTGCACATGTGACAGATGTGAAGTCTGAGTCTAGAGATGCCTTAAAAAAAAACATTCTGCTTCCTGCAACATCCTCCAGCATGACCAGTTTGGCAGTGGGTTAGTAATGATGTGGAATTTCTTTGGAGGACCACACAGCCCTCCATGTACTTACCAGAGGTACTTACCAGAGAGCCTGACTGTCATTAGGTACCAAGATGAGACCCTCAGACCCCTTGTGAAACCCCACGTCAGTGTGGTTGGTCCTGAGTTCCTTCTAATATAAGACAATGCTAGACCTTATGTGACTGGAGTGTGTCAGCAGTTCCTGCAAGATAAAGGCATTGATGCCATGGACTGGCCCGCCTGTTTCCTATACCTGAATCCAATTGAGCACATCTGGGACATGTCTCGCTCCATTTACCAATGCCACATTGCATCACAGACTGTCCAGGAGTTGACGGATGCTTTAGTCCAGGTCTGGGATGAAGATATTCCTCAGGAGACCATCTGCTATCTCAGGAGTAGTCAGGCATTGTGGGGAGGTAATACAGACATTTGAAGGTCACGCACACTATGGAGTCTCGTTTTGACTAGTTTTAGGGACATGACATGAAAGTTATGTCAGCTTGTAGTGTGTTTTTACACTTTAATTTTGAGTGTGATTCTAAATTTAGACCTCCATGGGTTAATACATTTGATTTCCATTGATACTTTTTGTGTGATTTTGTTATCAGCACATTTATCTATGTAAAGAACAAAGTATTTAATAAGAATATTTCAATTATTCAGATCTAGGATGTGTTATTTTAGTGTTTCTTTTATTTTTCTGAGCAGCTTCAACTGGTTGAGGATATAGACACATCAGTTTTTATACATTAAGACACTGTGTATAACAAACATTTTTTATAATGCACATTGCAGGAAGACTTACCAGTTATCCGTTGACTATCAGCATTAAGTGTTCAACAAATGACGAGGTTGTTCCTGTAACTCTTTATGTGGTGACTTAAAGATCCTACTTTCTAGGGCTAGACTTAATTAGATCACTGACTCTAGACATTGTCAATAGAACGGTAAAGTCCATTGACCCTGAAAATGAAACATTACTTGCATCACTTCGAACAAATGAGCCTTCCACAAGTCCTGTGTCTACACTGAAACCAATATCAACTGATCATCTTGGATATTTAAAAGGACTTGTTCACAAAGTGCAAATCCATTTAACACTGATAGCAGTACATCCAAAGTTGAGATGTTTGCCTCTTAGTATTCGCAAGGAGGAGTCCACTGAACTTAAATGTCTCCACACATCAGGTATTACGGAACCAACTGATTCTTTGGAATGGGTCAGTCCTCTGATGGTCATACATAAGAGGGATGGACACATTAGACTTTGTGTAGAACTCTGTAAACCCAACAAGAGCATCATTATGAATTGTTACCAATTACCTCAAATGGAGAATTTGTTTACAGAACTTGCAGGTGCCTTACATTACAATAAAATTGCTCTGAGCTCTACCATCAGCTGCTTCTTCATCCTGACAGTTGTAATTTTACTGCATTCATAATTCAATTAAATTCAATTCACCTTTATTTGTATAGCACTTTTACAATGTAGATTGTGTCAAAGCAGCTTCACATGGAAGATCATAGTAAATTGAAATAGTGTAGTTTAGTTTTAAAGTTAAGTTCTGTTCAGTTTTGCTCATTTCAGTGTGGTTTAATAATCACTACTGAGAGTCCAAACACTGAAGAGCAAATCCATCGATGCATAGCTCTACAGATCCCGAACCATGCAATCTAGTAGCGAGAAAAAAAACTTCACCAATTAGCAAAAGTGAAGAAAAAAAAAAACCTTGAGAGAACCAGGCTCAGATAGGTATGACCATTTCTCCACTGGCGAAGCGTCTTGTGCAGAGCTGCAGTCTCTAAGCACCGGACGCTGGAAGCTGGGCCTCAGCGAAGACTCGTCTGTCCATGGAGCGTCACAGAAATTAGGCTTATGCTCTCCACTCCTCCATGACCACCACAGCAGCTGCTCAAGGTACTACGGCCTGGTCTACAAAACCTTGGGATCATCTCGTCGCTCGTCTTGGATCAAATCAGTGGCACTGCGTGGTCTGAGGGCCTCGGGAAGATTATCCCCAGCTGGAAATAGAGAATAAAGAGAATAATTAGAGTAGCTGCTGTTCATAGTGTATATAAATGAGATGAAGAAACCTGTGTGGAGCACATTCATGTATCATACCGCTAAGTGATGCACTGAGTGTATGCTTTACTAAAAAGATAGGTCTTTAATTTAGTTTTGAACTGCGAGACTGTGTCTGAGCCTCGGACTTTATCAGGAAGGTTAATCCTCTATTAAAATCTACTAGATTTAAATGATTTCAGTAGAACATAAAATGTCAGGTACATATTTGTCAGGTAAAGATTTTACATGCCAATACACATAATTAAACAAAAATAAGCAAATTCAGAAATGTACAACATCAATTTCCCAAAGATACATTTATGACGCAATTGCAATTAGGATATCTTCTATTTGATTGCGACTAGGCATAATATGCATTGAATATATAAATACAATGTTAATTTTATAGTCATAATATACATTAGAGAAATCTACAACCCTAAAATGACTAGCCATATTCTTCCATTGAAAAATAATTGTAAACATCTACAGATTTTTGACTAATAGAAATTGTAATTACATATCTATTAATAAATTTTGACTAGGTAGAATTGGAATTAATGATATCTCTAATTACAATATTACTAGTGACAATTAAATTAGAGAGATCAAGATATAATTCAAGATATCTCTAACTAGGTTTTTACTATAATCAATCCAATTGGAGATATCTTTAAATTGTCACTTTTAAGATATCCACAAATACATTTGTAGATATGTGTAAATAATCGACTTAGTTGAATCACAGTTTTAGATTGCTTGAACTGGATTTTTGACTAGTCAAATCTCATTTAAAGATACCTGCACTTGATATCTCAATCAGATTTTTGACTAGGTGGATCTTTCTTTGGAGATATCTGCAATCAGTCTTGTAACTATAGGAAGAATGCAATTGTAGATATCTTGAATAAACATTCTAACTAGTCTGAGTGAAATGTTCTTTGAGTAGATATTAATAATCTGTTAATGACTGGTAAAAAGGCAAATGCTTGCAAAAAAGATGAAACACTTTTTTTTAGCAAAAGTTTGGGTGCACGAGCATCACTTTTTGTAATTTTTATGACAACTGAATGCACCAATAGGTTGTTTGCAATCATGTGATTCTGGTGATGTG